TTCTGCAGTATCTGCTACTGGGTCAGGTTAGATTTATTTGGTAGAGGAAAAATGTAATTGTGACTAAAATATAGAGGTGAGATGCAATAATCTGGTTATCTAGCCAAGACTCTTAAGAAGTTAAAATTTTATGAAGTTTACAGTATACACAGATAACCATAAATAGCAACATAATTCACTGTGCTTCTTGTATCCCTTTTCCTCACCTTTCTGTCATGTTTGTTAAGATCTCATCCTGCAAAGATTTTTCCTTAGTTTGAGAATATCTTTGTGCAGCAACTGCACAGAAAATACATGGTAGTCATTGGGAGACCTGGGCCCGAGACCTAACTCTCAGCACCAGCACAGCATCTTTCAGATGTAAGGCAGCTTGAAACATGGCTTGTCTGATCATACAAAGGGAACAAGAGGTCCCTTGTGCTGACAGCCCACAGGATGGAGGGCAGTACCAGGGGAAGGCAGGCGCTGAGATTACGATGTCTCTGCCTGGCCCAGGTGGGTGGAACTGAGGGAGGCTTAATAGCCCTGCTTCTGTTGCAGGGCACAACCAAAAAAGGCATTGACTCATGCAGTCCGAATGCTTTTGGGACAAAACTACTGTGTGTTGTCCTTTATCAGGGAGGTGTAGCAGAAGACAGGAATATCAGAATGGCCATCCAGTCAAGGTCTAGCTGTCCATAGTTTTCGTCCTGGGAGAGGCCTATAGCAATGTTTTGGGGAAGCAGCATAAGCAACAACACAGAGAGATTTGCTTGTCCACAGCTTCTGGCAAGGAGTTGCTTAAAGCCCTGTGCTGTAGGCTGCATCCATACCACTGTGGTTTCCTAACCCTCTGAGCTTGCCTAGTCCCCTTTTGGACAACTCATCCGTCTGATCTCCTGAATGTGCTGAGCAATGCAATCCATATTTCAGTAATACTTTGTGTGGGAAAAATTACTTCCTTTTGTTTAATACATGCATGCTTTGCATGTACAATGATTAGCAGAGAGCCCTGAGCCATCTGGGTCCATCTCCTAATATTAAGGTGTTCTAGTACCCAGGAGCAGATAGATACAGAATCAATAGGGAGTGACTCAAAAGTATCTGGAGACAAAGCATCCATTTTGTCACTTACATCTCATTTTGTGGTAATACTTGTTAATGTAAGACATGCTTGGAAGCGTGTTGATGAAGACTTCAATTCAAGGCTGTATCTGTTAACCACTTAGCTTCAGAGAATTTCAGACCTCTGCAATTGTTTAATCCTGGTTATTTATCACCTTAAATCTTGGGAAGAAGCCAGGCAGCTGCTTTTGTAGCCTGTAGAGTAAGGATGGGGATTTTTGTTTAGATCAAGTGCCTTTACCATTCTTGCTTTCCTCCTTTGATACGTACACAGGAGGGCAGTGGATTTGGCTAGATGTGGACAGATTTATATTATTTCAGGAGATCTTTAATTAAAGACAAGTACAAACAATTGGTTTATATTTCATAGCTTTGCTTTAATTCTCTGAGGTTCTGTGATGAAATGTATAAACAGTGCAATCTGAGCAGACAGGTAGTTCCTGTGAGGCCTACTCCAATTCCCCACAGCATGACAGCTGTATGAACTATATGCTGATATGGGTGAGGAACCTCACCTTCCTGCACACCTTTGCTGGCTACCACAGCCTGTCGGCCAGGCTCATCTGTAGAAGTCATAGAAGCAGGGCTGCATAGTCACTCTCAGATGAGTAGTGACTCTGAGGAGTATTAGCCCCTCGAAGCTGAGCAGTGCAGCTGAGCTGCTGTAGAGGTGTTGCCATTACTTGTTAGAATGTATAGTAAGTCTAGGACTGCTTTTTCCTGGGTGTAACAATGTCCTATGGACAGCATAACCCCATCAGCGATTCTCTGGGTTGATACCAAAATCTGTGCTCAGTTTTTAGAGAATGATTGATGATTTAGAATGATTCCTTCTTCATGTAGTAAGAATAGAAACCTCATAGCTTGGTAGCTGAATATCCCTTTATCATCAGATGCTACCATGAACCCAGTGTAACTTGCAGAAGAGGTACAGGGAGAATGATACTGTTTAAAACTTTGGATTACATTTTATTGTGGAAATAAATAGAAATCACAGATCAGTTGAGGCACAACAGTTGTTGCAGGGACTGCCACAGCCTGGCCTCCACAACATATATGGCTTTGACCAAAGGTCAGATGATTGTCTCCCTTTCCTGGCTGTTAAATGAGAATGGTATCTGCTAGCTGGAGGCTGTTAATGAAGGATACAGTATGATCACAGGCTGCTGTGATAGTGCAACAGCCTTCAGGTGATTTCCTTGGCTCTGTACATTAGTGTAGGGAAGTTAGTTACTCCTGATTCTCCTTAAGAAAGAGTGAGCACATTACAGACACTCTACTGTAACAAAGAGCTTTATGTCTGTGTGTCAGAATGTCCTGTCTCTCCCAGCAGTCCATCAATACAGTCAATACTGAAGATGTCAAAATAGAACATGAGTGCAAATAAAATGACTACAGCGGTGTAGCATGAAATTAATGAACTCATCTCAGCCTTCAGTGCCATATAGTGGCTTACAAATACATAAAAGAAGGATGGTTAACTTTTTTCTAAACAAGAACTTTTCTGCAAAGTGTGGTGATCCCTTGCTAGAGATCCCACATCTTCTAGACAGCTAAGGCTATGCTAAGTACATCAAGCCTTTGTTTTTACTTCATATACACAATCACACTACTTCACAAGGACATACAGCTGAAAAACACCGAGCTGACTGTTGGAAGGCTTTAAACTCTTCCTCATTGACCTAGAGTTGAAACAGCCTGTCCCAAACTGGATGCTGTAATTGGAAGCCCTGAGTTTTTGATTAAAAGTGAGCTTCTGCTTTCTGTCCCTAGGAGGATTGCTGGCAGCAGTTTACCAAGGGACTAGAAACTACAGCCTGATGCTAGTAAGAAAGCCTTGTGTTCAGTCTTAGTCCAGAGGGGAGAGAGGAAGAGCCAGAATCCCAGAGTCTTAGAGAGCTCTTAAAGGTTTGATCTTGATCTTGTATGCTGCCCTCCCCCACCTCTGGAAGAAACTGCACATTTCTACTCTAGGATAGATTTCATGTGCTGGAATTCTTCCCAGAGTTGGCACGGCTTCAAAGGGTTTTATCTTGGCTGTAGTACCCACATGCTGCTGGAAAGGTCCCCCAGGGAAAAGAGTCAGAAACGGGCAAAAGAACAACAAAGCTATAGGATCCTCCAGGAGCTTATACCCCACTGGGATGATTCCCCAAAAGCCAGTCATACAGGGAAATCCCTCTCTTCCTTCCCCATCTCCTGTTGGTCACCACAAAGCATCCTAGCCCTCAGCTTCTCTACAGGACCCATGATTCTCACAGCATGCCATTCTCTTTGCTGGTGAGAGCGCTCCCTACAGATGCTGAGTTAGGGCCCCAGAAGTTTTTCCTCAGCAGCCTTTTCCTCTTTCTTCAAGGTCTCAGCACAACCATGCTGGCCTACAAGCTACTCAGTCTGCATTAAGAATCTTTTGTGGTGGTATCAACTCACTGGCCAGCAGCCTGTGATACTGGAAAGTTCTCTTCTGAGCACTCATGAGAGAGAACTGAGGGCACAACCCTTCATCTACCAGAGCCCTTCAGTCACTCACAGCAGCAGCTTGTTAAAATGATCTCAACTGTACAGAGAGCCCTGTAGATGAATGCTGATTCCCTTCACCTTTCTCTGTATGTTGATACTTCAGTACTCTTTCAGGCTTAGCCATAAACATTAATTTCAGCCCGCTGACTTATTACTGGGATGTGGAGTAGAGCACTTACCTCAACAATACAGAACACTGAGGACCAAGAACAGCGTTTGACACAGCACTGATGTATCCGCCTGTATATCTACACAGCAGGTTGTTACATTTCTATCTACTCTGCAGGTGCAAGGTTCAGGGGGTTCTGCCTGCACAAAAGACAAAATACCCAAAAAAACCTGAACATGCATAAACTAGTTGCCATGGAATAATATTGGTCTTTCATCTCAAAAAGCTTGGGTCTGTTTCTACTCAGGTTGGATTGCTAATTGTCAGCAGAAAGCTGATCCAGAGCAGTACTGAGGTTACCTGTGAAGTTTCTTGTAGCACTAAGGAAAGCTATTAGTTGGAAAAGGAAGTTCAGTTCCAAATCAGATACTAGCTTTAACTCACAGGCCTGATCCTGCAAGCCTTACTCGTGTAAGTGGCTGTCTTGCTTTCAGCAAGATTGGTCCAGCCAGCAGCTCTCGCTAACTTGGGCCAAAAGCTTTTCTGGATAACTACGTTCAGGCTGGGGGGGGGAGGGGAGAAGACAGACATCACAGAAGTAATTCATTTTCCACAAGAAAGCAGTAATAAAAATGAGACAGTAAGTCAGCCTTGCCCTTAAGGTTACCAAATAGCTACTAAATTAAAGGAAAGGCTAGCATGTTTGGTAATAAATTTTGTCACACACCACGGACATCAGCAGCAGTTACTATGGACACAGCTTCCAAGAGAGAGACAGGCAGGAAGAGAGAGAGCTGAAACAAAGAAGAAACAGTAGATCTAAAGAGGGTTAACTGGGCTTTTAAAAGATCACTGTCTAAAAACCTTTTTCAGTATAGAGTCAGTAATCCTTGGCATTCCGAAATTCTGGCATGCTCCAAACCCTCCTGGTGGGCTGGGTGCCCCGTTCCACATCCTCAGAGATGGTCTTGATGTCACTGATGAATGGGGAAATCCTGGATCGGGATTTAAATGTTGTTAAGGAGAGGCTGGTTTTGTTCTTTGTGTTCCATTGCCTGGCAAGCTTCTTGGCCTCTTCCTCCTCTTTGATCTTCTCAGCAGCTTCCTGCAGGACAGAGCGGAAAAGCCGGGATACTTCCTGCACTTCTGGTTCATATTCAGCAATGAGTTGCCGGAATCTGAAAGCACAGTCAAAGCACAGCTTTGATTAAAAACATCGAATTAGGGATTGCTGCCAAGTCACTGTGCTAGGCTTGGAACTTGTACTCTCCTGCAAAATGGGATTCCCTGGACTGAAAGGAACAACAGAGAGGAGCCATGAAGATATGCTCAAGGTCTTTAAAATCACAAGCAAACCAGAGAATGTAAGGAAGCAATGAATCACTGTTTCTCATAAGCACAAGAAATAATAGGGAGCACCAAACAAAGCTAGAAGGTGGCAAGTTTGAAACCGAAGGAAGTGCTCTTTTCACACAACACCTATTAAATTAGAACTCAGTGCTATCAATAGCTTAAGAAACAAAATGGTTATACAAGTTGTGGAAAATGTCCCCATCACCGCTGATTAAATGTAATTGTCCAAGTGCAAATCCTTGCTCAAGTAGTCCCTGAACTCCTGCTGACCAAAAGCTGAGAATAAACCAGGGAAAGTCCAGCTAGACTTCCACTGTTTCCCGTTCTTGTCCCCATAGCATTACCCAATGGCCACTACACAAAAATCCGATAAAACTCTCCTTTGTTACATGTCTCTCAATATTTACATTTCAGTGAAGTGGTATGCCATCCTCCTATGGCTTTCTGTAAGATAATGGACCTGATAACACCTTGATTGGCAGCACAATGCTGTATCTAATTAGACAACAGTGAATTACTCCAGTGCCTTCTCAGCAAAGAGCTCAGAATGGTTTTTAATGTATATTAAGCTAGCTTAATACCAGGGAAGTGAAGAATTACAACTGTTTATTTTGCAGGTGAGGAAGATTGAGACGCAGAACAGGATAGTTTTCTTGAAGTCACTGGCTGGGCAAAGAAGAGAACATACCATTCCTGACACCTTGTTGGGTGATTTGGTCCCCAAGCCTGTAGAGTGCTCACACCCCAAAGCTCACACAGTGGTCACACAGACATTCTGGTTGTTCCGTAATGGCAGTTGTTCCGTTTATGACAGATGGTTCTATGACTACTCTTCCAGTAAATATTCTGTTCTCAACATAAAATTTTATCTACAAGCAGGCACAGAGCTAAACTGGTACTTCACTAAAATGCAGGTATTTATACTTAATGGAAGCTAAAGTATATAAGGTCTGTAAGCATTTTGATATTTTTCTCCAACAGAACTGAACGAGAATGGAAGACAGTAGGATTGCATTTAAATAAGCCTAATACAGCAGAAGCTGACAGAATAAGATCCTGACTCTTGGTTTTTTGATAAGCCCTAGGTATGTAACAAGTTTAGTGCACTATGGAATTGCATTGCTTAATGGTGTACCAAAGGGTAGCCAAGATAGTAAGGACAGAAAAAAAAACAGAGATGAAGCAAAAAAGACTCTTCATACATTTGTGCCTTTTGACTCCTACTGTGGAGGCCTGGTATTGGACAGACATCTTAACATCACTCTATATCCCAGATATTTTAGTGCACTCCTCTCATAGCAAGTATTGGCAGCTACATGCACAGCTGTGGAGACACCAGTACTGCATGCTGAGGGAACTCGTTATCAGCAGAAGCACCAGTCCCTTTCAGGGTCAAGCTAGAGGATCCTGACACACAAGTTACCAAATGTTCCTTAACATTCCTTAACGATTTCAGTTGCTTCATATGAATTCCTCATCTCCTTCCTCCACCACACTCCCAAAAGAAAAACCCCTCTGAACTTTGAACATTTGGGTGCAAAAAGCCTCTGAGGCTCTGTAGTTCACACTGGTACATAAGTACTTATGCAATGGTACTATACTGAATTGTGCAGAGCCTGTAAGAGCAAGAGGCTAGGTCTTACTGAGGTTTAACACATAACAGCAGTAACAAATCTGCTGTACATTGCAAACATCCTTTCTGCCTTATGACGAGGCACTTCAGTTGTGTTATCAAAGAGACAAAAATACAGTTTTCACAATAAATATGTTTTTCCCTTTATCCTAGTCAGAAGCATAGACAGATAAGTCCATCGAAACCCAAGTCTTCACAACATTATTATTACTATACCAGGGAAATCACCTTCAAAGGACTTTCATTGCAGAGGTGAAATGAATGAGTCATTCTGCTATTTTATCTCCATGTGTATTTTAAAGAGAGATGCTGGCATATTCTTTTTATATATATATATCTATCAGTACATCCTCTTCTTTTGTATTGGCAATTCTGCACCCAAAAGGCCTCATCACTGCCTCCAGTTTTAGAGGCTGTGTGTCATACTGCTGGATTGTAGCTCCAGAGCAGGTAGCAGCACGTGTCAGGCTATTACTGGACCAGTGACTGGCTCTGGGAACAAGAGGGAAAATGGGCAAATTTACCCGCTGAGCACAAAGCTCTCATGCTAATGCCCTGTGTTGCTAGTAACACTCCCAACCAATCTAGCTGAAACTGTCTTCTAAAATCAGTGTAACCTTCCACCTTCATAGCTATCTGCACTCTCCTTAGCTATGGCAGCAAGAACTGTTTTCTGAACTCTGTTTTTGCTGTTAAGATTTACCTCTGACTTTTCAGGACCAACACAAAACCTACTTCATATGGATTTGAGCAGGTCTAAGAAAGAAAGAGAAAGCAATCCAGCAGGCTGTCTGCCAGCCACCCTAAGAAAAGTCAGTCTCATTCAGGTGGAGAAGGGAAAAGGGGGGCCTTTCCTCTACCCCAATAGGATGAACTAACTTCGTCTTTTTATTAATGCCCATGTAACTTTAGTACCAGCACATTTGTGTAAGGGACAGCCCACGTATGAAGTGCAAAAGGTGTGCATGCCACAAATATTTCTCAGCAGAAAGGATGGACAGGTTTTCAGGGGCTGAGGTCTAGCTAAACCAGTCTGTGTGTCAGAAAATAGATGATTGCTGCAGCCACCTGCACGTAATCGAAGCCATCTTCCCCAGCTATCAATGGAAGCCAGTTGACGTGCTGGCTGATCTAGCAGTCTGCTCTCCAGACAAAACAACATATAAAAACAGTAAAACCACTGGAATCAAGGAATATGGGCTTGTATCCTGGGAAACAAAACTCCACACAAAGCTGCTCAGTGGAACTGAGCACACAACATTGCACAAGGCTCACCTATCTTCTAGCACAGGTTAACTTCTGCAGGGAATAGTTTCAAACTGGGCAACTGCACAACCATAGCTAGAAATCCCTCAACAGTGTTTCCTTACTCATCAGAAAAGTATACCCATCTGTCTTATTTGTGAAACAAGTTATGATACTACTGGTAGCTAACCTGTAATATATTACACAAGTTACACAGTCTTAGACGTGACAGTCAACAAAACTCACCTTGAGCCAGCACAGAAGCCTGGGGGAGCATGTATATGCACACATAGGGAAAATCACATTCCCCAGTCCAGGCTGCGTTTTAATCACAGTTCAAACAAATTTGTTCTTTAAATTGTGACCCTTCCGTTTCCTCATAAGGCAATTAGATTTTTAGAATCTGGCTCCGCTTGGCTCGTACTGGCACTGCTTTTTTTAAAGCACTGTCACCTGCCTATGTTATTTTGTAGGTCCCCAGTTCAGTAGGTTTCCTAAGTACAGCCTGAGCTTTAAAGACCTGTTAAATCCAATGGAAGTCTGTGGACTTAAACAATGTGCTTATAGTTCGGTGTATTCCTGAGTGCCTGTCTGAACTGGGAGCTCTAAGTAGATTTAGTATTCGCAGAAAACGTGGGGTGCTTAGTGCTAATAATGAGCTGCTGACTTCTGAATCTGTATTTTGAGGAGAAATTCTGGTTATATCGTAAAGCTGTGAACAGCTTTGCTAGAGAAGGCTACTTGACTCCCAAAGGACTATGGCATTCACACTGACTGCACCACTCATGTCACATCACCTCAAACTTAAGCTCATAATTGTAAATAAATCAATTTCTGATTTTAGTCATCTGTCTTACATTTCAGCATACTAGGAAGTCCACTTCAGCTATACACAATCCTTAGAAAATTACAGTCCTTAGCCTGTGGTATTAATAACATCTCAGATCACCAAAATGTGGTTTACATTTCCATATTAGGGTTTTTTGTTTGTTTCTCTCTAGGCAGAGAAGGACAGAAACCCACTGTTTCACTTTTGCTGAAACTGAAAGAAAAGAAACAAACAATAACTAGCTCTGATTACAGCTAAAGCTCTGAGGAAAGATGGCAAAAATCTGACGTTCAGTGCTAGCAAGCTACTAGGCTACTCATTCAGTTTAGGCGTAGCAGTTAAGTACTAAGGGCCTCACCAAAAGCGCTGTCACTTCCTTCAAATGGCTCCGGGATTTAAGTTTAATTAGCCTAAAGCTAAGTTACACCTGAATGCAATAGCTTTATTCGTATGAGGCAAATCAGAGTCTCCAGATATCTGATGGTATTTGCAGTGTACTTGAATTCTTCCAGAATTTCAAGAGACTCAAAGAAAAGTTCTTATTGACCCGAAATACAAAACAAGCAAACTGGATCTAAAAAATTCCCTCCCATTTAAGAAGTGCTCCTTTCCAGCCTCCTCCACATCTAAAGAAACAAATTTATAGAGACTCCGTCTTTCAGTAGATGTGACTGTAGCCACAGAAAAGGACAATTTGGATAATCATTTAGACCTCTGGAGAATAAAGTGACATCTCTGACAACTCATACAAAAATGTTTTGTTCTGGCTTTGACTCTGAGCTTAGAATCTCACAAAGGAGGAGACCTTCCATGAGACAAACAAAACAAACTCTTCAGTCTTGCAAGATGCATGCTACTTGTGTTATTTAAGTATTACATGCTTGTTGAGTACATCAAAAAGGATTTCAGCTCTTCAAATGTCTAAGATGTAAGGGGAAGGATTAAGCTTAATATTTCAAACAGAACCAAGGGCTTCAGTAAGGTACATGTTCTGCATTTGAACTTCCAAATGCAAGCTTGTAGATTTTTTTTTTTTGTGGAAATTTTTTCTGGAAGTTACTACATGCTAGAAAGTCACAGGGTATTCAAGAGGAAGCATCAGCAGTGCAGTGATATTGTGATTAAAGTACTTCACTGGAAATGTGAAGACTTCAGTTGAATTTCTGTTGTACTCATCTTGTGCAATTCTGGGGAATTTTCAATTTTATCTCACTTTCTGAGAGGACAATTTATCCAATTTTGGCTGTCTCGTATTACATGTTCCTGATTTCTGTACAGTTTCAGCTCCTAGGATGGCAAGCACCATTCTTTTCCATTGTTTCCACATCAGCAATGAATATTTCTGAACCACAGGGCTCTCGGTTAGAAGGTAGAAAAGAAGAGGGGTCAACCGTTCACATTTCCAACACAAGAAGAAGGGATTATCAAATAAAATTAGTACACATTAGTTTGAGACAAGCAAAATACAGTTTTCTACAGCGGAGTTGTAGTTCAGATGTGGAACTCTGCTGTGGGGTGCCACAAATGCTAAAAGTTTACATGAGTTCAAAAAAGAAAAGTAAAACCCCACAACCTAAACTACTGAAAGAAAAAGCCACGTAGGGCAATTATGGACAGAAGGACCACTTCTGGCTCCAAAAGTCTCCAAGTTACAAGGCACAGTAAGTTGGAGGCTATATACAAGATACTGTGATTGTCCATACTGTTGTATTTGCTTGCCTTGTTCGTTTCTCTTTTCCTTACACTGATGCTACTGGCCACTACCTCACATACAGATTGCATGTCAGATCAAGCAGACCTTTAACCCAATCCAGTTCTGTCATTTTTGTGGCTGTGACGTTCCCTTCTCAATCACAGAATTGAACCAACAAAGGTTATGCAAGCCTCATTTTTTTAATGTGGCCCTGCTAACCATGCAAGCTCTGTAGTATGGAACAAACAAAAAAATGCCATTTCCTGAAGCATACTGTAATACAATTTATGATAGCGTATAACAGCAGTTTATAAGAGGATTTTTAAGAGGATGGTTTTATCCTTTTTCAGTTATGCCCACATAGAGCCCACCCATGTTGCTGAGTATGTTTACCTACTGTGAACAGTATGCTGAATTCTGAACAACAGTGAACAACTACTACAAACTGCACGCATCTTGCATGATCTCAGTTTAAAAAAAAAAACCAAAACCAACTAAAAACTCAGAGCAGCAGCAAGTTGCATATGGCTCAGCTTAATACTCTTTTCTGAAGGACGTGGTGAACCTTTAGGCTTCCCAACTCCAGCAGCTGAAGCATGCTCTCATGGAAATAACCTGTTTGCCAGACAGGCCTTGCTCAGTGGCTCTGGGGATGGTGAAAATAACTCTGAACCCCAAGGGCTTTGTAGTGGCTTGTTTACAGCATAGCTCGTAGTTATACAAAGACAAGGCAGGTGCTATTCCCAGCAAATTTTCACTGGAGAGAACTCGGCCACTGAATGTTCCCAAATCTCCAATTCTACCACCATGGCAAAAGCCAAAGCCCTGTGCCAGCTTGCTTCCAAGGTTCAGCCCTGGGCAAGATGGGAGTTAGAGAGATAGCTTTGGCATCCTTTCCTGGCTGCCCTCACTGTAAGACAGAGGACCACCTATTTCCAGCCCTCCTATGGTTGTAGTTGAAGAGCTGTAGATTCATTTGTTCAAGGGAAAAAGAGGTGCCAGAACATGCAGTGAGGGACTGCAGGGCGCTGAGTGCCCCATTGTACCTGGCCTGCCAGGACTGTCATCTTTCTAATCCTAACTGAGGAACATGTTGGAACCAGGGAAGTGAATTATAAAGGCACATTGCACAACTTTGCTTTGGCTAAGGTGGACTTCGGAGTCACTACTCCTCACTTGCACTGTGCTAAGTGAGAGGGTTTAACTTAGAAGAGTTCCCCCCTGCCCAAGAATCACCTCCCTTCCAGTTTGGATGCTCCAGCAGGCTTAGATGTATTTCTGAAGGCATTCTACAGAAGGTTACTCAGCTGGCAAGCAGCAATCCTATGTCTAGCACTTGAAAGGCTCAACAGCAAGTCTAAGAGGCTGTGTCTACATCTACGCTGCAGAAGGCAGAAGCACCACCTAGCTGTTCAAGCCAACTGCATGCCCCACCTGCATCCTACTCCATGTCAAGGGTGTGGAGGGAGGGCAGGAGAGGGAGAAGCATGCAATCCCCCCTTTCTCTAGGAATACCTGGCTCACAGGCTGAAAAACACAATAGCACCTTTTGGGTGCTCTGAACACTGGGGATAAGTGCCTCAATAGACCTGCTGGACAGCTTAAATGAAGGAAGGACGGCTCCAGTGAGAGTGTGTAAACACCAAAGCAGGTTGTTCTGCATCTGTGCAATCTCCACCCTTGGAGATATTCAATGGACAGGGTAAGGCCCTGAGCAACCTGATCTAACTTTGAAGTTGGCCCTTCAAAGCACATACCTCCAGAGGTCCCTTTAAACCTCAATTATTCTAAGATTCTAAAGACTGAAGGAAAAGCCATCACAATACTGAAATGGTAACTGGTCATCAGGCAAGATAATCCTTCTCTAGTTGCTCAGTAGCATAAAGTACTCAAGTCAGTCTCAGAGGGAAATGGCATTTAGTAACTTTTTGGAGGAAATGATACCACGTTAAACTGGCTTAAGACTTAAGATTTCCCTCCTTCCACAAAGACACTGTCCCAACATGACTTATGATAAGGGATACGAAGTTCTTGTTCTGTTGGTCCTAACAGCTCTCATTCCTTCCTCACATATCAGTCAGAGCGAAAGGAAAGGTCTGTACTATCAGATCTTTTACTGTACCTGAGTATGACAGGCCCACAGTAGGAAGGATGTATTTTGGTACACATATCCTCCAGCTGCAGCCGTTCTCCCGGGCTGATATCATAGCTCTGCTTTGGATAGCTGACCAGCCAGCCGTAGTCCACCCCAGTCTTGATCTTGCGATACTCATTCTCCCGCTCTCGCTGCTGCTTCTCTGCCTGCTTGGTCTGCCAGCTCAGCTCCATCATTAGCGTCTCAACCACCATTTCTGTGGGGTTCCTCTGGGAAATACGGTTTGGGGGCTCATTCCACCTGAACCAGGATGCCAGTGACATAGTGCTCTATGTGTCTTCATTGGGAGTGGGTTGAGCATAGGGAGGGAGAGAAAAAGAACAGCGTCATCATCAACACACCTCAGCTGAGAACATTCTCCCCTGCACACCCCTTGAGTCTCTTGTTCACCTAAAAGTGCTACTGGATTAGCCACTTAGAACTAATTGGTGCCAAGCACCTTGAGAAATCTCACCCATAGCAGCCAACCCTTGCAGAGGGCAAGACAAAGTGTGAAGAGGCACCATTTCCCTTGAACTTCCGGTCACCACGTAATTAAAATGACAGTCACAATTCTTACATCTGAAGTCAAGTTATAAGGATACCTTGCTCCCTCCAGGTTAGGCTGGGGAAGCATTCTCCTGCCCACATGGAAGAACAGGGGCTAGAGCTCGCCTGTCTGAACCGTCATGGGAGGGCATGACCTTGCAGCACCCTACATGCAAAAAATCAACACATGGAGTCAAACTATTCTTGGGAGCCACATTCTAGAGAGCAGGGGATCCTCAGGGGGGATGGCAGGATAGGTGACCTGGGTAGGTTTGCTGCTGCTGTAACATAAGTAGTAGAGCTCATTTGTACTTAGCTAGTACTGGCAGGAGCAACAGTTGCGTTAACTAGAAGGCCAGGCAGAGCTTTAACCATTATTTAGCAAAAACGTTATTGTATGCACGTGAGGCCACACCACCTTCTACAAGCTGAAGTCCAACTATCAGCTATGCTGAAAGAGCACACCTTAGGTGCTACCACCAGCACCAAGGGAACGGAGGCTGGGCTGAGGGAAGTGACAGCATACCACGGTTTAAACTGTTACTACTTCTAGGTGAGAGGTTTCTGCTGCTGGGGAGTTACCCAGCACTTAGAAGGCAGAACAAACTGCACCAATCAGCTCAGCAAAAGGGGAATTAACTCCCCACCCAGCCAGTCCCTCACTTCAAGAGGACAATGGAACAAAGTTATTAACTATTGTATTTGTACTTAAACACAATGGAGTCCAAAGCAGGCACTAGGGACCTGAACAGGAGCAAAACAGCATCTGTTTCTTTACACAGCACAGTTACATGCCTTGTTGCTCCCTTCCATTAGCCCCCAGGGAGAAGGGGTGGCACAAATAACGGCTGCAGCTGGGATTACCAAAAGGCTAGTCCTGGCAGCAGCCCAGTCAGGACGTGGCATCAAAAGTCAACATGAGGGCAATGGATTAAAGAGCCTGATTCTGCAGGGCCTGAGCAAATCCTCACTACTGAGACACAGACGTGAAGACAGACATAAAAGGGAGAAAAATACACTTTTGATTTAAGCTGCCATATTGGGGTCTAGAGCCTTTAGTGACAATGCGAATCGCCAGGAGCTCATAACTACCCAGTATTCCCACTAGAGCTGAGCCACGAGCTCCCAGCCTCCCTAGCAGAGCAGTGGTCAGTAGGATTCTGCCTTCAGTGCCTGGAAAACCATCACCGTCTGCACCAGGTGAGAGGATACTTCAGTTGCTTTCATGCCTTTTTCACTTGCCATAATGTAGCCTTGTTCTCTTTCAAAAATGTTCATGTTATGTGAACATGTCACACCATTAAAGAAAAATGCTCCAAAAACCTGGATAGTCTGAACAGTGTACCAAGTTTGAAACAATTTCAGGGTCTAATGCTTAGGCTTTTCTAGAATCAGGAAGTTTGCAAACTGCATCAAAGGACTAGTTTCTCTAGTCCTATATCCTACCTCTCCCAGCAAGCAATACCAGTTTCTTCAGAAGGAAGACGTAAAACGGCTGAAAACTCCCACAGGACACAGGTCTACCTAGGTGTGTAAGGCTGCAGGTACTCTCCTGAGACTATAAACATTGACACCTTTGCTAGTTTACAGTGCTTACACATGAGGGATCACTGTAGTGTATTGGTTTTGCCCTGGGATATCAGCTATGATTATCCTTATGATAGCAGACATAGTCAGCAGCTGCTGGAAGTAATCCTGCTCCTATCTCATTTCTGTGCTCTGGAGGAGGAGAAGGAGCAGGTCCTTTCATTTGCTTTCATCGCCAGGGTGACTCCAGCTAACAGCTCTCAAATCACCACACAGCGCTCTGCCTGCCTGCCGCCGACTTACTTGCCCAAGACACTTGATTGAGCACAGGCTGGAACTGATCTGCTGACAGCTTCAACTCCACAATCCCACCATTCCAACGTGTACCTGGATCTTGCTACATGGTGGCCTCCACTCACCATTACACATTATTAAGGATGAAGATCCTTAAAACTTAAGACCTTTTCCCTGGTTTTATCACCCCTTATGCGTCATGTAGGTGAGCAAAAGTGAGTAGCAGAAAAGACCACAGGCTGTTGTAAAAGATTTAAGTCTCCTGCTTCTTTTCAGCTTATGTGACAATAGCAATTTTTCGTAAGATTTTACAGGTATCTGAACAATTAAGATATTATTATTTCCATTTGCACCTTCACCCAATGAAGGTGAGCATGCCCTTCTGTATTTTACCAGCAAAGGGTTAGCTTACTTCACTTTTATTCTGGCTATGATCTGGTCTCACATTGATTTAACTCTGCTGACTTCAGTGGTATTAGGGATAAATCAGTATAAAGCAGTATCACTTCCAACTCTTCCTAGCTCACCAGCTCTTTCATTAGAAGAGGAACAAGAGGGGAATTTAGTGGTCAGAACAGGGAAAGACAGAAAGGAGACCTGGGCTCTCATTTGACCTGCCCTGGCTTTCACGTCATCCTGGGCTGTTTTTACTGCCTTTATGTTTTTATCTCGCAGGTCTCCCTCGAAGCTAGTAGTTCTGCATGAGAAGGATCATTTTACCTAGCACTAGTACAGCAGAGGACAATCAGTTAGAAAAATAGTTTGGCTAGCTTGTCTGAGCAAGGCCTGCTGAGCCTGAGTTGTGCCCTGTCCTAGAGCTTTTTATAAAGCACTGGTAACAGGCAGATTTGCTTTTGATATGGGAACATGGATACCACTGATTCTGAATGGGGCTTCCACTTGTCTCCCATACATCACTTGAAAAAACTGCTTCCACATGAGAAGAATATAAAGTAAGGGAAGCAACTCACCTTCAGTTTAAATGGCCTGTTCTAAAACGAAGGAAAATCCTATCCAAGCATGTCATGCACACTGGCAGCTTGTGCTGACTGTTCCTAAGGAAGTACTGTTTGTATGAGATTGTTTCCTTCCCCATCTCTCATCCATCATCTCCTCCTTTTGAGAGCTGGAAACTGGCCATCTCTATTTAGCAGCTTGACAAGCCACCACTCTTCCCGCTACTGGTCTTTGCAGCCTGCAGAAGATACTGTGGGCTCCACTAATTGTAGCTGCTGTTGTTAATTTAAAGTTCACATGCAGGCTAATCATTAAATGACTCAAAATGGCTTTTCCTATTAGGAAAGACCCAAAGGACTGTTGGCAGAATGTCGGCAACTAAAGGAAGGCAAAAGTTTCAGCCTGACCTTCTTATGGGAGAAAAGGACAAATTTACATTTTGCAAGCATTCACATTAAAATTATTAAAAGAAAGAGACACTGCCCCACCTGAATACAGATCTTTGTGTTGTACAATTAGTCCATTTTCTGATTCCTTATAAGAAACTATCCTGGGAGCTGACATAATCCAGTTGATGAACTACTCTGGTGTTACTCAAGCAAAATTTCAGAGTGATTTATCTAAGTTCCACTCCAGAAGCAGATCTGGGTTTCAAGACTTTTGCCTCATTGACCCTAGACCTTTGTATAGAAGACAAACCTTTCCATAAAACTCTTGACTGCAAGTCTGACAAACCACCTCACAGTTTTAAACATACATTTACCTTAGCTATGTTAAAGTCATACCTTGCTTTCTCCCTCTCTCACAGCCTCTTGAGGGGTTTCTTCAATTTTTAGTGATTGTTAGTAAGTTCCTCTGAGACTTTTTCATGTAGAAGATTCCTGTTAGCTTTAGTTCTAAAGCAGCTTTTTGTCTCTCTCCAAAACTCATTTTTGTTCTCCATACTGTCAGCAATTCCTGCATTTTTCTCCTCATATACTTTACAGCTTTCTCCATTCTCTTCTAGTGGCATGTTCTGTACAATTTCACCTCATCTTTCACTTTTTTTACCTTCTCCCATATTTCCTGATGTGATTTCCTCTTTTTGCTCCAGAGAATCCACCAAAGAATCATCAGAAATACCAAAGTCCACATGCCTTATTTGCTTTTTCACCTTCCTAAAACAGGATTTCAGCCTTTCCTAGCTCTTTTATTAACAAAGGGAGTATGTTTCTGTAGCTTGCTCTCTGGCTGTTCTTTGGCCAACCGAAGGCTGTTCACATAACCCAAAAGACATCAGTCTCCTTGAGGCTCTTGCAGGCTAGATCACCACTTGCTAAGACTTGTTACAGCAGGGCTGCTTTCTGGTAAACCACAAGTCAATCAGCAGGACCTATTTGCCTTGTAGAAGATTAACTTCTGAGAATAAAAATTTCCCTTTCCATTGATCCTTTTCCTGGTTCCCAGCTTCCAATGCCCTCCAGGATAGCAAAAGAGTAGGCAGAGGCTGGGACATGTGCATTTGG